CCACATGTGACTTTCAGAGTTCTTTGCTGACTGATATCAGTCAAACCTGAATTTTTGCTCTATTGTATTTGTTCAGATGAAAGTGGTACTTTTACCCTGTGAAGATAAGGATTTCTTAGCCACGTAGACTTTTCCTGTGCCCTTGATGAGGCCGCATTCCCTGTATTTGAGACGGTGATCACGGGTGCACCCAGGGAGGACACAGGACCGTGGCTGCCCTAAGCTGCTTCCAGGCAGAGTAGTTCTGGGGAGAATTTTGAGCTTTGTGGGGGAAGGTGCCGTAGCTGGTGTTCTCTTTGCTGTAACACTAGTGTGACCACAGGAGGTATTTGCTCCCTAACCAAACCCATGCATGTATTTCCCTTCCACACTGTTCTTTGAGCATGAGCAGCAAAGGAAGAGATGAAAAAGGGATGAGGCACGATTAGTTCCTTTGTGACCTCCCAGAGCACTTGCCCTCCTGCAGCCCAGCAGCCACCAGTCTGCTCCTGTTTCTTGCTTACCCAGCAGTGCCAGCCCCGTCCCAGGCGCCGTGGAGGACGTAGGCCCTGCCCTGCCTCACTCTCTCCACCCCTTGGGAGGAGGCATCATGCTGAACTCGCACTTGGCCTTGATGATTGTTTAGTATGATGTGGGAGTGCAGGAAGTATTGACTGGAAAGTGAACTGAGCAGCGGGTAGCATAGACTCATTAGCTAGACTTCTGTTAGCCTAGAATCTTGCACATCAGTTTTTGTTTTTCATTTTAAAAGTAAATGCATTGAAACTTCCCTAAGCTGTCCCTCACTCTTCCTGCTGCAAACAAAATGCAAAGGCAGGTTCATTAGTGGGACAGAATCCATCAACACACAGACGCTAACACTTTTGAGAGATGGAAAAGCAGGTATGTGTTGCAGGATGACAGTCTGGTAGGTTTTTTCTCTCATTGCATTCTATTCCATTTGTTTTATTCATCTCTATATGTCATGTGTGATGTATTCGTTTTCTAGTCCCAGACAAGAAAATGATTATTAAGGCCATATGTACTATATACGGGAGCTTTTTTACTTCTTAGATTGCCATCAGCCCTCGCCTACACCCCCATTTTCTTACTGTCCTTTCTTCACCAGCCACCCTGACTGCAAACCTCAAGTGCAATGAGTGCTTTGTTATTTCTGTTAGGACCTTTTTCCATGAACAACTGGAAGTTATTACAGTAAAATACTAATATTTGGGGCCATGTGTGTACATTCCTAAGTATATTGGAGAGAGAGAAGACAGACAGGTTGAACCCAGGGAACACTGAGCTGTATATACCCATCCTTTTTTTACTTTGAGACAGGGTCTGACTAAGTTGTCCAGGCTGGCCTGGAACTGGCATTCCTCCTGCCTCAGCCTCCCAAGGATGTGTACCTAAACCAAAACTAACTGTCGTGGCTACAAAGAACATGGTTTCCATCTGTGAGAATAGTAGTAAAATTTGCATGTAAGTGGTTGACATTGTCAAAGACTTTCAAGGTCCTGCTAAAGACCAGACATGGTACAGGCTCCGAGCATGCCGTGGTGAGAAGAGAAGCTGTGTGCAGTCCACTGGGGGAGACACACAGCAGACAAACAGCAGGTGCATAAACACAGACTCTGCCCGGCTACAGAAGAAAACACTAGTATGCTAGCTACTCTCGGTCCTGTTTTGGGAGTGCAGTACAGGATTCCTTCTCTGAAAATGTCACAGTGAGGTGCAGTGTGGCGATGGACTCAGCTGCGGAGGTTTAGCAAGACACGGTCAGTGTCAGCAGGGCAGGAGCAGTGAGGACAGGAGAGCCTGCCCTGCACGCAGGACCGTTATTTGGTGTGTGTGTGTGAGGACCATGTATTTGGTGTTAAGGGCGGTTGTTCGTGAGTGTGCATGTACTGACCTGCAGACGTGAGGCAGTTGATGATGTCCAAAGGGCCCTGTGACCATGAAACGGGCCCCAGTGGGTCTCACGTGTCCATGCGCAGCACGCACTGCGCTCACTCCAGGGAGCTGGGACAGTGAAAGGGGCTGGATGCTGTCCTCCGTGGCCCGGCATGCAGTGCGCAGGTAGGAGGTGGGTCGCAGGGCCTCAGTGTAACCAGTGAATGGCATCAAGAGTTGTTCGTAGTGCCTGTTCTTTCATCAAGCAGAGCCAGGAGGTTTTCTTCCAGACAGTTTCTGTGTGATCCTGCCTTTTCTCTGCTAGGTGGAGTAGAGCAATTCAGAGTCGGGCAGCACAGCGGAAGTGCTTCTCCTTCAGGTACTGTGGCCGCTCACCGTTTCACCATTCGACTACCACAGACTCGCTGCTTTGCAGCTTTTCAAAAAATATTAACCTACATTATTGATCATGGATTTTTCGCTATGTCTTGGGATTTTGTAGTACCATACAGTATACATTTGTTGTTAAAATTACATAGGCTTGCACATTTAGAAAACGGTTAAGAGACACTGGGCATGAGGTGCGCGCCTGTAATCCCAGCACTTGGGAGGCTGAAAACAGGACAGTCACTGTGAGTCCGATCTGTGTAGTGAGGCCTGAAGACCCTGTGCTAAATACACTAAAAAAGGAGAGAAAAAGAAAATGGTTAAGAACATTAGACATTTTTAAAAGTGTGGGAAAGGTTTACAAGAGCATGGGAAGGGTTTATAAAGCCTTAAAATATATATAAATACTAAAATAAATATAATTATTGTGGGGGTGACAGGAACGTAACCGCAGTAAGTGAGGGGCCACTGTATCTTGTCTGGCGCATCCCAGAGGTGGGAAATTTAGGGGTGTAGCGCACAGCTCCTCCAAGACCAGATGACTTGCCAAGACAAATGCAATTGGTTAGAAATGAGAAAACAAAGTTATGAAAAAAATATAGAAGCTCGTAAGTGTCTGCAAGAGAAAGGTAGATTAAGTTCCCGCACAGCTGGCGGCTGCAGAGCGTCCCAGAGAGCGGAGTCTCACTGGTGTTGCCAGCTGTGTCCTGAGCACTTAGATTGGGGCCGCCACAGGGCGAGGGCAGCTGCAGAAGCTGAAGGGGAGCCCCGAGGGGCAGGCTAAACATACATGAAAATAAACTTGGGGGCCGGGGAGACGGCTCAGCGGAATATGCGCTTCCCTGGCAAGCGCAACGGCCTGAGTTCAATCCCCGGTTCCGAAGAAAAAAGAAAATAAACTTGGATTAAGAGTAGTGTGGTTGGGGCTGGGGAGATAGCTCAGTAGAAGTGCTTGCCTGGCAAGTGCAGGGTCCTGATACCGAGGAGAAAAAAAAAAAAATAGTGGTGTGGGGCCAGGGTGCAGTGCGGTGGTGGAGCAGTTGCCTGGCGTGTGTGCCCTCTGGGTTCTGTTCTTTTTTCCCAAGAAGAGTACGAGTAGACGTTGAGGTTGTTCTCTTTACATCTAAACAAATGGCCCGCTGCTAAGACTGCGCAGAAAGGAACCTGAAAGTTTTCATCTTCCTAAAAGATGGCAAAGAGGAGGACTGCAGAAAACAGAGCCTTTGATCCTGGCGTTTCAGTATGTGGAATACCTTGTGTTGTGTAACCATCAACACTATTTTAAGAACCTTACTGTCATTCCAAACAGAAACTTTGCACCCATTAAGCAACAACTCTCCATTATCCTGCTTCCCTTCCTGCCGCTCCTAGAATGCTCTACTCTGATTGCCAGCCCTGTGGATTTCCCTGTGCGGGGAACCTCATGTGCCTGAAATTACAGAGTTCATTCTTCTGAGTCTGGCTAATTTCTCTTAGCATAATCTTTACAAGGTTTATCCATGCTGTTTTTATCATAATTCTATTCTTTGTGGCAGAATAATATCCATCAACAGTTTATGCATTTTTTATACATTTACCTATGAATAATACTTGGGTTGTTCTTATCTGGGCTGTTGTGAGTAATGGCAAGTTTGAAGATTGAACGAATATTTGTTTTAGTCTCTGTCCTCGTTTCTTTTCGTTATATGTTTACAGTGGAATTACTAGGTCATATGGTAATGTTTTAACTAATTAAGTTTATTGATGTATTTTAGATAGACATAGTGATCACCATAGGAAGAGTATACATTAGTACATGATACACCTTCTTTTTCTGTTTCCCTCTACTTCCTCCAACCCCTTGTCGTCTCCATACTGACAAAAGCTTTACATCTGGGTTACTTTTCTCTCGTTGGCTGGGACAAAGTATCTGACGCCCAGAATTAAGCAAAGAAAGGTTTATTTAGCTCACAGTTAGTGGAGGTTTCAGGCCATATACTCAGCTGGCTCCACAGTAGAGTGGCACATGGCAGAGGGCAGCAGTTCGTGGCAGTGGAAAACAGCAAGAGCCAAAAGGGAGGGGCAGCAGCCTCTCGAGACAGGCAAGCCATCTCCCTCCCTCACACCGCGTTCATGCTATCCGCACCAGGGCAGGTGTAGAGCACACACCCATAATCCCAACACTGGAGTGCGAATTAATCACAACTCTAGAAGCTGCCCCAGTGCCTGCATGAGACTTTGGGGGGACACCTAGACACAAACCATACAGTTTGTTCCCACTTTTTCCTTCTCTTCTCATTTTTTGCTTTTCCTTTTCTTCCTTTTGATTTTGTGAGGAGCTGCCGAGCTGTTTTTGTGGCACCTGTAGCACTTTTTAATATTTCCACAGGCAATGCATTGAGTGTCAATTTTGCTACATTTTTCCAAAACTGGTTACTTTCTACTTTTTGGGTAGTAGTTATTTTAATGAAGGTGTTTGGTTTTAATTAAGAATTAAACAATCTCAATGGCAGGACACCTGATTCCTCAGACAGATGTATAAAATATATATTTCAGTGAAAAGGAAAATCATAGATTTTCTCATTTCGCTATTAGCTTTGTTCTCTTTTTATATTTTTAGTTTACATAATTTATTATAGTTGAGGATAAATAAGTACAAGTTTAGAATTTTTAGAGACAGAATATTTAAAATTTTTACATATATATCATTTGAAAGTTTGGAAAACATGAGTCTTCCTATCTTTTCTGTGATGTTAAAGACAGCGGAAACCACTGTTAGAACTGTGCCAGTCAAGGGTGAAGAGAGCTGTGGCTACTTCTTGAACCCCTCCTTAACATCACCAGAATGTTTACCAGCAGCTGTGAAAAAGAGAACAGACGACACGAGCGACCTGCCCTCTGAGAGTCAGAGAAGCATCCCACTCGCCGTGACAGATGCCCTGGAGCATATCATGGAGCAGCTCCATGTTCTGACTCAGGTGGGTCGCCACACTCTGGCTCGGGAGAAGAAGCGCAGCGCCGTCCTGGCTTAGCAGGCTGCAAAGACGACGGGCGGGGCAGTCTTCTTCACCAGCTGGCAGTCATAGAACAAGGCGTGCAGGGCCGAGCTGCTCTGAGCTAGATCCTGGGGAGAGGCTCGGAGACCATGCGCACATGTGGGCTGCGCATGTGTGGGCTGCACACTCTCACACGCGCATACACACACTGTTCTGTCTCCTCACCTGGGCCCCGAAAGGCAAGGTGGACAATGAAGAACGGTAGTGGGACTTAGTGCCATAAATACAGTATTTGGTTTTAGGCAATGATGTTTTGCCATTAGAATTTGTGACATAGTACTTTGAGATTAAGCCACTCCTGAATAAACATTTAGAACTGTAAGAAAAGTGTATTAGAAGTAAACATTTCAGATTAGTGTAAATCCTGACAATGTTAAGTTTCTTAAGTTTTTCACTAGTCCAAAAAGATTCTGATGGTCCAAAATATACAACTTTTCTCATTCCAAAGCTTGTGTTGATACAGTTTCTTCCAGAGGTGAAGGATTAGTATTCTGCTTTTAGAATCTTAACCAGTCCTCTGAAGCAATTTACCTTCACAAAGAAGGAAAAAGTTAATAGAGCATCTTAAATAATGTATCAAAAGCTTCCGGCTCTTGGTCAGGAGATACAGATGTAATGCAAGGAAAGCTGTCTGTTGAAGTGGACACAGAACAGCTTTCTCTTCCAGCTCTGCTGACTCCATGTCCTTTGGCGTCTTCTGTGGATCCTCTGCAGCATTTGGGGAGCAGACATCATCACAGTTATGTACAAGAGAGGCTCACGGGTAACCAGAGAGGCAGTTATTCATCCAGAATAAGTCTTTGGAGCTGAGCCAGCTCCTCCGCAGAAGCACCTGCCTGGGTCCCCAGCACTGGCTGTGCATTGTACCTCTAGGGCTGCTGAAGAGCGTGTCTCTGCCCAGGTCTTGCCCTGACCCTGACGTCAGCCATTGTGTGATTCTGTTTTACATCCACTGTGGAGACCCACTAGTTAAATGAGTATTTTTGTCTCGTGGATATCATCTTAGGACTTTTGAAATCAAGAGATACATTCATAGTTTTGGAGTCTGACAGACGATAAGAAAGACCCAAGTGGGGCTGGGGAGATGGCTCAGTGGAATAAGCGCTTCCCGGGCAAACGCAAGGGCCTGAGTTCAATCCCCAGTTCCGCAAAAGAAAAAAAGAAATGATAGCAGGTATTATCTGCATCCCTGTTATTTTTAATTAGTCATTGATACTGTCTATGTAATAAAAGGCAGAAACTTTCAAATAATGGTAAACTGATACCTGATAAACTTGTAACCTTCAGAATATTGATGGAGTCATTTCATCGTCTTAAAATTTGTTGACTAATGTAATGAAGCATTTTTCTTCACCTTCCTATGCGAACTCTGCCACTATGTAACCAAGGAATAGATAAGAGAACTGTCTCTTGTTTACCAGTTCTCCCAATGATTAAATTGTTAATGATAGAATTATATTCTCATTTGCATTCCCTGGGAATTAATAAATGTAGGCACTGAGTTGTTAACATACTAAAAGGAAAATGATCAAACATTAATGTGCCCTATAATGAAAAAATAGACCACCATCTATAGCAGTTGTGGTGAACCTACAGCACATGTGCCACAGTGGGCTGTTTGTATCATTGAAAGCTCTAGGAGATTCGCCATTACTAACCTCTAATCTTAGCAGGAATTTACACTGGCCAAGCCTTTTATCCCCGCTGCCAGAATGTACAGAGGATGGCAGAATTCCACTAGTAGTGTTCTACTTCCAGACCAGTGGAAACTTTACAGGGCAGATGGCTAGAGTCTTCAACAGACAAACAGTCAAGAAAAGAAAGAAAGAGAAGGCTGGGAGTATAGCTCAGTGGTATAGCACCTGCATAGCACACAGGAGGCTCTGGTTTCAATCCAGTAACACACACAAAAAAAAAAAAGAAGAAGAAGAAGAAGGAAAAAGCAAAAACAAAAGGAGGAAGGAGAGAGGGATTACGTACAGATTAAAAAACATACCAGGTTTTAAAGACAGAAAAAATAAATCAGTGTCTTGCAGTGAGTATGTGAGAAATGAAACTATAAAGAGATACTAGAAAGTGGTCAAAAAGTCAGGAGAAGGGCTATTGTGAGGTAAAGAAGGTGAGGTGATTAGAGGAGACACAGGGAAAGTGCTCTGAGGTATCTGGCAAGGTTGTAGTTATTGGGTATTACTTTTGTTATGTGAAATGACCCCCAGAGCTCATGGTATGGAAGCCTTGATTGCCCATGGATGGGTTAGCATCACTAGGTCATCCGGGGTCTCGGTTCATTAGTGGATTCATCCACTGATGGAAACAGGAGGAAGGTCCAGGTGACAGGAGTGCCTCAGGCTCCAGCTTTCTCCCTGGGCTACTCAGAGGGAGCAGCTTTCCTGTCCCATTGCCTTCCAAGGAGCTGTTTCTACCTTGCCTCAGACCTAAGGGCAGATGAGTCAGCTGACCAAGGTTGATACCTCTGGACTCTGAGCCTGAATTAATCTTTCCTCTGCCAGGTTGGTTTTTTTCAGCTGTTTGGTCACACTGATTTAGTTGTCATTGGGTGATGATAGCTGTATGTGTTTCTCTTATGAGAATTCATTAAGTGACACATGTATTTTGTGTGGCTTCCTGATGTATGCCTTGTTTTATATGATTTTTTAAATAAAAGACATAAAAGACAGACAGCATTGCAGTCAGTTTAAAAAAGTAGGATTTTCTCAGCTTGACACACATGTGTATGTATATGTCCAAGTGAGTCCATGCAGCCATATCCAAGCAGAGTTAGAAGACACAATCCATGGAGTCCTCCCTCCCCAGCACTACTGTTGTCCTCTTGGTGAGGGACCTGAGAGCAGTCAGTTATCCATCGGCTGGGTGCCTTAGGTCCTGCTCTCCCTGGACTGGACTGTGACAGAAATACCAGCAGTGGCATTCTAATAGCGCCCCTGCCACTCCTCCACACGTCACCATGTAGCCTGTGACACTGCTCAGACAGCCGTGTGTAGGGTCTTCCCTGGACTCATGAGGGCCTCCAAAGATGAGGGCCTCACGGTGGTCTCTGCAGCGGCCTGATCTCTTACTTCTTTTTCCTCCTCATCTTCAGTTTTTTTCTCTTCCTCAGCACCCTCGATGGTGCTATGTCCTGTGGTTGAGCCCAGCAGAAAACAAGTTGGGGGCTCGTTTCTGAGCCCCACCTTGGCAGAAGGTTACCATGCCAGTTCTAGAAGGGATCACCTGTGCAGAGCATTATGGTCGTCCTCCCCCAACCCTGGGTTTCCAGGCTTGATTCTGTTGTCCTCCTCTTTGCAGACTGTTTCAATTTTGGAGCAGCGACTGACTTTGACAGAGGATAAGCTGAAAGATTGCCTAGAAAACCAGAGAAAGCTTTTCGGTGCTGTCCGGAGGAGTTGAATGGGGAGGAGTGAGTGGAGGCACCATGAGGAGTCAGAGGCGCGTCCTCGGGAAGGCGATGCAGGCTGCGCTCCCACAGACCCTGTCAGGACACGTCCTCCCCGGAGCATCAGAGCCCAAGGCCGAAGAGCCGAACTTAAGGACAATGTCAGCATGTGACTCAGTGTCAGCGACTCGCTTAAGTCCCCAGCTATGACCGCAGTAATAAACTGGTAAGCATCCAAGTGCCTCTGCATTTCCCCCCATATTATTTTAAATGTCAGTTTCCTTTGTAGTCAAACCTGCCAGAAAAGTAACCAAATCTCTGTATCTCATTGTTCGGGCACTCCAGATGTACATGCTCAGGCACTTTCTTAATTAACGTCTCTTTAGTGAGCACACTCTTGGAGAGCGGTGATTCGCTTGCTTCCAAAACAGCACCCTAAGTGTGGAGAATGATTCTACTGATCTGACTCCTCTTTCTTTCAGCTCAAAAAAAAAAAAAAAAAAAAAAGCTTTTCAAAGCTCTTACTAACGCTCTGAAAAGATGATCTAATAAAAATTTCCAGGCCAAGGATTTCCACAGCAGAAATGCACTTATTTTAATTAGCGACAGGTACGTACAGAGCATGGGGCCGTGCGCCTTTGCTTAGCTTGTGTCTGCAGGGTCCGTCCAGCAGCCAAGCAGCCCCGTGTCACAGGCGTGTGCAGTGAGCGGGTCACGCCGAGCCTGTGCCGCAGCCCACCTTGGTCACACTGCAGCACCAGGGCAGTGCAACAGCTGCGTACACGTGTGTCCACACTTCAGAAATGCTGTGCAGGGTGACCTGGGCAGCTGAGTAAGGCACGCTTTGAAAAAGGACATTTGCATCACCTATATTTTTAATGAATTATGACTTGAAACAAGATGAAAATGAGGCAGGCATTCTAGAAGATCTTGGTTGCAAATTAAGGCTGTGTTTTATCTTAAAACTGAGATGAAAGTTCAAAAAGCAGGAAAATTGTTGCTTCCTTTTCCATTTATCTGTCAAGAACAAAGGTGAGAAAGCTAGATTTAGGATCTCTAGTGAATGCTGTATTTTAGAAAATAAGAAAAAGTAAAGTCCTATTTATGTGGGATTCAGTATTGAGAAATTTTTTCTCAAAGCAGTTTCAACTGTACCTGTGAGTGGCTTTTCTTACTGTCACACTGGATGTTGTAAGTGCATTTTATATCACATTAAATGGGATCTTCTAGATGTTTTCAAGAGTTGACAAAAACTGAATGGCATTATATTTTTAAAACCTCACCGAGAAGAAATGTCATGACAACTTTTTTATATTTCAAACAATAAAGATACTTTTCCTTTAAAAACAGAAGTGCTTCCTTTTCTTTTCAAAGCGTGGGAACGCGAAGCTGCTTAGCAGCGGGCTCTCAGCACAGCGTACCTGAGGATCTCCTCGGCTGTGCCCTTCTCCGGCCTCCTCCGGGCGGGCGGGCCGTGACTCACGAGTCTCCCTTGTGAAGCTGGAGCTCACAGGTGATGGCACTGCTTCTGGCCTCAAGTCCAGCCTCAGCCGCATGTTACAGCCTGATGTTGCTTTCACCACCATCCCAGAACTGTGTAAGCGATAAAGGTAATAGTGATAGAAGCGCTGGGAAGAGCATCTTAACTTTAAAAGGATTATTTATAATTTCCCTTCTTTTTTCTTTTTAACTCTTGAGCAGTCTCCTTGGTTTTGTCAGATCCCAGCCCCTCTTGAACATGCAGCCACCTGACCTCCTGACTGGTGTATTACATAGGTCTCTCCCACCACGGCCAGGCTGAGCCCCACCCGCTGCAACCACCAGCGTCACCAGCAGCTCCTTCCTCAGCTCCTCCTCTCAGGCACATGGCCACCTTCCATTCCAACTGCCGAAGCCCAACACTTGGCATGCTCCTGTTTTCCTTTTTGTTTTGAGACAGGGTCTCACTGTATGGTTCAGGCTGGCCTTGAGCGTATTGTGTCACCCAGCTGGCCTCCAGCTCAACAATTCTGCGCCAGCCTCACCAGTGCTGGGATTACAGGCGTGCGCTACCACGCCCTGCACTTGGCATGAGCTCGACTCCCCTTTCACACCCCACAGTTCATTCCTTCAGCAGATCATTTCAGGAGGTAAACTCCACATCCCCTCACCACCCCTGCCCTGTCATGGCCCAGCCACCATCATCTCCTCTCTAACTGGCCTCCCTCGGGCAGCCTGGCCAGACTCCTGGCATGGCTTGGCACATCAGCTACTCAAGTATCAGCCCTGCAGTCTTCCTAGCGGAGGCATGGAGGGAAGTTGGGGGTTTCTTCACAGAGCAAACACACCCCACTCCCTGCTGCCTTCACCCCTCCACTCTTAGATGTTACTCATTAGACTGACCCTTCAGCTGTCTGGGTCTTGTCTGGTGTTCTAAGCCTGTCACCATCTGTCCCCAGTCTGTACCTTTCTGGGTTCATTTCCCACTGCTAACCTCTTTTCCACGTTCTCTACCCTTTGTCCTTGACTGTGTGTCTTACCCTGGGCTCTGCTGAACTTCTCGTCACTTACACTGAGCGTGCTCAGCTGGTCGCCTTACCTGCTCTTCTCTGGGGAACCCCCTGCTCTTGCAGAGGTTGCTTGCGTACTGTTGTGTACTCCGGTTTTGGTTCCACAGCGATCGAGCTGTAACCCAGCTGTCACACAGGTGGCACTGCCACTGCCATTCCACAGGCAGGAACTCTCGGCTTCAGAGTGCCCACATCACACCTGCACCTCGCTCGTGGGACGAGCTTGATAAAAGTGTTGAATGGAGGAGCATTTTGTACTTATTCAATCAGATGTTTGGAAACACCCCTCTTAAGAATGAAAAACATTCCCTGGCAAGCGCAAGGGCCTGAGTTCACTCCCCGGTTCCGGAAAAAAAAAAAAAAAAAAAAGAATGAAAAACAGTCAAAACTAAGATAAGGGGACTGGAAGAATAGCAAAGATAAAAATGTAGAAATAGCAAAGATAAAATGTAGAAAATCCTATTTGGGGCTGAATGGGCCATACTCTAACCTGCTCTTTGACATATCGCTTAGTAGTTACCTGCAGTCATAATAAATAAAATTGAAAACAAAAACCAAAAGCTGCAGTCTTGAAGCCACAAAGACCATGAGCTACAGTTCTGTCCTTGTATAGTAATATGAGAGTCACAAAGCTTAGTTTCTTTTTCTGAAAATAATCGTATGAGGTGGCCTGCCCCGTAGCTCAGTTCTTTAAGTGGCTGCTTCAACAAAGCAGTCAGGCTCAGGTTGCTGTTGTTCGATCCCCACAACTCAAGCCAGCCAAACCTGCCCTGAAGGCATTCCAAGCAAAAAAAAAAAAAAAAAAAAAATCCTTAAAATAATCGTGTGAGTTGTTTCTGAAATGATCAGCACAGTAGTTTTTGCACTGTAAGTCATCCACAAATGCCAGCTATTACTGTATTTTCTCACCAGGTGTGGTGACACCCATTGACTCCCAGCACTCAGGAGGTTGAGGCAGGAGGATCACCAAGAGTTTGAGGCCAGCTTGGGCTATATAGTGAGTTCAGAGCCAGCCTGAAACATAGAACAGGATGATAGATAGATAGATAGATAGATAGATAGATAGATAGATAGATAGATAGATAGATAGATAGGAATAGACTCTAAAGCAAGTGCCATTAAGAAAAATACTTGTCTGGGACTCCTACCCTCCTGGCCCTTTGACTACTGGAGAACAAACAGTAAGCAAAGGCAGTTTGGAAAGGCAGTGAGCAAAGTATTATTTGTTTATTGCCCTTTATTTAAAACTAAGGCAGTTCAAGTCCTCACTTAGCATTCCATGTGTAGCACACACTTGGAGGCTCTTATTCCCAGGACGAATCGTATGCTTCTAAGAGGATTGGAAGATAAACCATCTGTCTCTGGATAGAAATATTTAGCTGTTAGAGAGAGAGACTCTAATATTTGGAGGATATAAGCAAACAGAGGTAAATAGCCAGTGATCAAATTTAATAATAAAAACAGGTATGTAGCAGATTTTCAAGTGAAATTATTCCAAATGCACTCGCTATATGCTCCATTTTCTCTACTGGCTTAGACTTCCTTAGCAAATCCCGAGGTTTTAGACTTCATGCACCAGAGGATTTATGAATGTACACTGACGCTGGGAACACAGTGTAACAGCCAGGTTGTCCTCTCTAAGCCCTAACTGTGACTTAGCCCGGTAACACAATTGCAGCCTATGCCGACCAGGAAAGTAGGTCAGTGGTGTGCCAAGAGGGAGCGGTTAATGGAGGGAGGCGGGAGTGTCTGTGCACACCCAGTTTTTTCGTTGTCAAGTACCTCAGTTGTATGTACTTTTAGGTCAACTCTCATTGCATGTTCCTATTAAAAATAAAGACTGCAGCCAGACGTGGTAGCACACACCTGTGATCCCAGCCCTCGAGAGGCTCAGCAGGAGGAGGATTGCCCTGAGATGGAGGCCAGCCTGGGCTGCCTGGTGAGTTCAAGGCCAGCCTGAACTCAGGCTGAATCACCCCTCTTAGAATGAAAAACAGTCAAAACTAAGATAAGTGGACTGGAAGAATAGCAAAGATAAAATGTAGAAAATCCTATTTGGCGCTGAATGGGCCATACTCCAACCTGCTGTTTGACATATCGCTTAGTAGTTACCTGCAGTCTTTTTTCTTTTTTCTTTTTTGCAGAACCAGGGATTGAACTTGGGCCCTTGTGCTTGCCAGGCAAGCGCTTATTCTGCTGAGCCATCTCCTGGCCCTGTTATCTGCAGTCTTAATAAATAAAATTAAAAGCTAAAATCTACAGTCTCAAAGCCAGAAAGACCATTAGCTGTAGTTGTTTTTTGGTGGTTTTTTTTTTTTTTTTTTGTGGCAGAATCAGGGCCTTGCACTTGCCAGGGAAGTGCATATCCCACTGAGCCATCTCCCCGGCCCTAGCTGTAGTTCTTTATCTGAAAACAATCGTGTCAGTTGTTTCCGAAATGACAGGCACAAGAGTTGTTGCCCTGTAGGTCATGAACAAGTGCCAGTCATTATTGCTGTTGCCGCAGTTTCTCAGCAGGGGGGTGGCACGCACCTGGACTCCCGGCGTTCAGGAGGCTGAGGCAGCAAGGCCCTGCCTCAAAAATAAAATTAAGTACAAGAAAGAAGAAAGACTGATTTGAGACTTTTCACCATAACAGATTTTATAATAAAGGCAGTAGAAAAAAAATGGTTTGATCATTTGAAAATTCCAAATTTGTAAAGCAACATATGATAGGAAAAAAAAACTGTCAGAAATGAAATATGTAAGTGAAAGTACCTTATCTCAAAAATAAAATTAACTGACACACATGATGCCAGATTATACAAAATTAATTAGACAGCCTTAATAGTCATGCAGATAACTACATGGCAGTAAGAGTGTCTCAGTTACTTTTCTCTCATTGCTGGGACAAAAAAAACCCAACACCCCAAATTAAGGACAAAAGGTTCATTTAGCTCACAGTTTGTGGAGGCTTCAGTCCATATTCAGCTAGCTCCAAGGCAGACTGGCACGTGGCAGAGGGCAGCCGTTCATGGAGAGGGAAACAGCAAAACAGCAAGAGAAAAGGGGAGGAGCAGGGGCAGCCGTGGTGGCAGAGGCAGAGCCAGCCTCGCCTTCCTCACACGGCACACAGGCTGTGTGCTGCGGGCTGGGTGTAGCACTCACACCCATAATTCCAGCAGCACTTGTACCCATAATCCAAGCACTGGATCATGAATTAATCACCAACTCTAGAATCTCTCAGCCCCATTAATGCACGAGGCTTGGAGGGACACCTAGCCACAAACCATAACAAGGAGCTAATTCTGTTTTTTGCCCAAAGATGTCTTAACCAAAGATTGACCATATTGTGAGTTACAAGATAGAAAGTTTTAAATCAAAATTCCATATGCCCGTGCTGAGCTGGCACTTGAGTCCAGGCGTGATGGTGCACTCCTGTAATCCCAGTGCTGGGGAGGCTGAAAACAGGAGGATCACTACAAATCCAATCTATGTAATGAGACCCTCTAGGCCCTGTACCAAATACATTAAAAAAAAAAAAAAAACTGTATGCCTTGCATCCAAAATAAATAACAATTAAATAGCAACGTAAAACATTTAACACAAAAAATGTGAAAATGGTGAATAATATTTAAAGAAGAAAGGAAACTCCAATCAATAATATTTAAGCCAGGAAGAAATTCAAAATGTAGTAGAGAATTTTTAAGTGAAAGTACAAGTGGGATATGTTAAATTAGATGGGATACAGCCAGAGCAAAGTATGAAGTAAACATCGCCCTAAAAATGTAGTGATCGTAATAAGTGGGAAG